AACTGTCTTGCATGCTCTGCTCATGTACCCCAAAACCTAAAATCCAATAAAAAATTTAAAAAAAAAAAAAGAAAAGCCAATCTTAGTATATCATTGCCAAACTATAGAAAAGCTTGTGGGATGTAGTGAAGGCAGTAACTTCAAAGAACATTTGTGCCTGGGTGCTGGGCTCATGCCTGTAATCCCAGCACTCTGGAGGCCGGAACAGGCAGATTACTTGAGGTCAGGAGTTCAAGCCTAGCCAACATGGTAAAACCCCGTCTTTACCAAAATTACAAAAACTTAGCTGGGCATGGTGGTGTGGACCTGTAATCCCAGCTACTTGGGACACTGAGGCACAAGAAAATGTGCTTCAGTCTGGGAGGGAGAGGTTGCAGTGAGGTGGGATCATGCCACTGCACTCTAGCCTGAGCCGACAGAGTGAGACTCTGTCTTGAAAAAAAAAAAAGAACACTTGTAGCCTGAAATATCTTAAGGAAGGAAGGCAGAAAATTAATGAGTTATGTGTTCAACATAAGGAGTTACACAAATAACCATAGGATAAATTCAAGTGACGATTTCAATGAAGAAATCTAGTTGTTTTCATCATGGAGCTTATGCAGGTGAGCTGGGAGCATATCAGCTCATGCATAAATATTTTTTAATGTCACCATTTTGTGAGTTCTGGTATTGCCAAGGTGCAAGGTGTGACTATGATCATGTATGGCTAAGATGCATTGGAAGAATATGCCATTGGCAATGAGGAGAGGGGGAAGAGTCCAGAGTGTTGAGTGGGTCACTCACATAGAGGCTGATGGGAGAAGTTTTGATCTCGTTACATAAGAACTTCAACATCATGATGAACACTACTTTCCTGAGAAAAACTTGAAAGAATACTGGTAATTGCATAGACCAGTAGGTCTCAAAGAGGTTTAAATAAACTATCTGGTAGTCTATCCTTTGCTTTTGGGTGAGATCAAATTTAACTATAGCAAACAAAATTGAATATATAAAATTGACATGTTATAGTCAAAGTCCAAATGTCTCCTTAAATCATCATTAGTGGCCTGTTTACCCCATGATTTAGAAATATCTGGCCTTCAATAAATCTTAAAATATTCTCATTAGCTCCTATATGGCTGTTTCTCAAATATATGAGCTTGAAATTCTAAGATATCATTGTTCTTTCATGGAACAGTATCTTCACTCAGTAATGTATTTATCCAAATACCATTCGCAAACTTATATAGAGTTGACAAGGGTTAGAAAAATATTGTTTTGGTGGAGCACCTCCTTAGAAAATAATCCCTTTTGTATTGCAGTATTGAATTTTAATCATTTTGAAGGTCTTCATAAATAAATACAGATGCTCTTCATGTTATAAATAATAAATATATTTCTAACATGTTGACACTATGGTTTTCACTTCCCTGAATAATGCACTATTTACTTAAATAATCTCATGCTGAAGAAAAGCACAGATTCTAGAGCCAGATTGATTACATTTGCATCCCGGCTCTACCACTTAGGGTTATGCTCGAGTTTCAGTTTCCACATCTCTAAAATTAGGATCAGACTACTCCCCAAATCATAAGGTTCTTGTGGGAATTAAGTGAAATAATTAATGCCTGGTTTACAGTAATTTCTGTTTAAATGTTACTGTCATTTTATAGGAAGTCTCCACCTATACTGTATTAAGGGTTTTAGAAATAACTTATCTATTTTTAAATGTTTAGATGTTGTATTTAAAGGCATTTGTTATCAAACTTAGGATATAATTGCCTACTTCATCAAAATGTATCCAATCACTTGCTTGCCCAGGATGGTGGGAGACAAGTTTTGTTTTGTTTTATTTTTACCAAGTAATGACTGGTTAAAAAGTCAATTTAATTTTTTTTTTTTGCTCCAGCTTTATAAAAATATATTATTCATGATTCCTCCACTAAATTCAGCTTAAGGTAAAACAGTAGACGCTGCATTAAGAGCAGGCACCCAACTGAACAAAAGGAAGGGAAAATACATTCAGCGATTTAGTCACTAAAAAGTTGGCCACTGTCATCATTTTCCTCTAGTTTAGCTCTGTATTTTCAGACAGTGAGGTTTTGTGCTTTCCCTAGACTTTAATGTGTCATAATAAAATCCATGTTAAAATTTCTTTCTTCTAATATTTATAGTTCCAGGATTATCATTAATTTTTCAATATTGTCTAGTAACTCGCTTAAATCACTTAGAAATTTCAAAATTAGTGTTGTCCTTGCTCCTTTAACCGACCCAGATATTCTCTCCTACTCTCTCCTCAATTCAGCCTGAACACAGCAATCATTGCATTTTCCTCATATTCAAAGGTTCCAATTAGTCTGCAAAGGGAAATTTTTGCAGACCTCTTCATCATCTATTGTTTCAGGCCTTACAGCTTGGTTTTGGCATTCTGCCACTGAACCCTAATATTGTTTGTGATGCCAAACTGGAACACAAGGCAAAACAGTACAAAGTTGCTATTCACCACAATCAACAGGTCCCAGCAAAGGTGATAGTTTATGTATAGAAATTCCATGCCTCATAAATGCCTGTTATTACATTTACTAAAAGGAGGCAGCATTCTTTACAATACTGAACTAGCAAAATGACCAACACAGAAACAAATAGAGATAGATTAAGGAAAACTTAGTTCCAAATGGTAAGATATGGCAGACTTAAATTTGCTGTCCTAAATATGACTACTGGATTATGCTCATTTTGCTAATCCATACAGCAGCCCCAGCTTTATCTCTCTCCACCCCCAATATATAAATATGTAATGCTGTATTATTTTTGCTTGTGATAGAAGGGTGTTTAGTGCCTCGACTCCATAATTAGTCTTTTAACTTAAAAAAAGAATTAAATAATAATAATTTCACCACCAGGGGGCAAACAACATTTTGATAGGCCAAGGATATTTTTAACATGCTGAAGGAATTACCTTGTGTGCACATAGTTTTGTTGTTGTTGTTACCATTTCAATAGCTTCAAGTTAGAAGACACCAATTTGAACCTAAACCTTTAAATTTAAGGAAAAATTATGTTTATAAAAGAGAAAATTGTACAAGTCACCATTAACCTGATGCCCTTCCATTTACTGTAATTTTTAGATGCTTTAAAAAATTTTCCCCCCTTTTCCTTTTTTCTTTCACATATTTGCACATGAGAAAGAAAAACAGAATTGAACTTTTTTAATACTCATGTAGCCTTTGTTTGTGGTAGCCTTTACATTGCTTTTAGTACATAGTATATTTTGGTCATTGGCTTCCTAAGCATGTATTTCAGCTCTGCCTTTTTTGTTAATTTAATATGATTAACTCATATACTCAGATCTCTACCTCCTTCTAAAATTGGGTTTATTGTCTCTTGATTACTGCTTTGCCATTTGTTAATTTTATAACTGTGAAATAATAATAACTGATAAACATATCATATTACAAATTATCTCTTTTGAGAGCTTGATACTACTAAACTGGATAAAGTACCAGAGTTGTGAACAACTAGTCCACAAAATAACAAAATGATCAGTACAATATATATTCAATAGGAGGCAATGATAAGAATAACTTTGGTGAAAACTTTGGTCCAACATATTCTGAAGTTTCAGGATATTGGATTACTTCTCATTTGTAACTTGGTAAAAAATTCTAGCAATGGAAGCAAAACAGAGTTTTAAAATCAAAATATCTGTGGTGAAGCAAAACAACCGCATTTTATTTCTCTTGGCTTGCTTCGTTTTCCTTTCTTCCTGCTCCTAAGTACCCGCTGAGACCACATTTCCCTGAATCGATTATAATGATGCCACTATTTCAAATTAGGGCTGGAGGAGAATGAAGATGTCACGGTGGTCTGGCAAGATCTGCTACTTGTTCTTTCTCTTTACTGCTCTCCCAAGCCTGGCCGTTATTTCCACTGTCGCACCCTGGCATTAGGGCTGTCACTATGGGCTGCAGACTTGAGTTGTTCACCTAAAGATGAAATCCATTTCTATCCAGATGAAATCATATTGAAAGCAAATATAAGGAGAAAAAGAAGTTGCAAAAGTCAGTATTAAGGGTTTATTTAGAGGCACACTGAAAAACAGTCTATGACCTACTGCCTGTAATATTAACGATGGAGGGGAACTTAGACATAAAGGTTTTTTTGACTGTTGTTGATTTGGTTTTTAAAATATTATTTTAGCATGAAATGACAAAGATTAGCTTTTTGTCTCTGAGCGATCCTTAAGCTGTTGCCCAAACACCAATTGCTCAAAGCCTAAACTTTTCACTCCAGTACATTGTATTAGTGACCCTGGAGCATCTGTTTAATCCTTCTTCATCTCACACAGAAACTAGCCTCAACCAAGCGACCAGTCTTGCTGACTTCTACCAGCTGCCCCATAGATGTACTCTGACAGTGCTTTGCCTTGGGGCAAATTTTCCAACTTCTTTTTGATGGCAAGTAGTTGTCAGTAATATGCTACCTGGCATTTTTTTTTTAAAGCTCAATTACAGAATTTCACTAAGATAAGAAATATTTTAACAATGAATGACAAAGAGGCTCATACAGTAGTGAGAGCATGGAAACAGATGTGTGAAAGTATTTTCATCATTATAAGATTTTTTTTCCTTGTCAAAAATGATATATGCCACTAATAAGCAATCTCATGTTTGGGTCCCTAACAACTTGTTTAAAATCTGCCAAATGAAGATTTTCAGTACAATTAAAATCCATTTATTCAAAATATAAGAACTTCTCACTTTTCAACTAGTTTGCAAGATCATTTTTAAATTTATTTTTATTTTTAATTTTTGTGGATACATAGTAGGTGTTTATATTTATGGGGTATGTGAGATGTTTTGATATGGCATGCATATCAAAACCTATCAACCATGCAATGCGAAATAAGCACATCATGGGGAATGGGGTATCCACCCCTTAAGCCTTTATTCTTTGAGTTACAAACAATCCATTTACATTCTTTAAGTTATTTTAAAATGGACAATTAAGTTATTATTGGCTATAGCCACCCTATTATGCAATCAAATAGTAGATCTTATTCATTCTATTTTTTTTGGTACCCATTAACCATTCCCAACCCACTCCAGCCCCCTACACTACCCTTCCCAGCCTCTGGTAACCATCCTTCTCCCTATGTCCATGAGAAGAACAATTATTTGACATCAAGGAAGATAGAAAATAACTAAGCTAATCTTAGCAAAAACCTTTATAGGATTGCTGAATGAAACTAAAAAACGAGTCTATGGCTTAGTGTCAGAGCCAGTCATACACTTCTTTCACTGGGATCTAGGCTTCTTTGCAAGGAATGTTTCTCCCCTACGACAGCCACTAAACTAGGCATCTAAATAAATTGGAATTAGACTCAGACCTTTACTTTAGCACAAAGTGTTATATCAGATTTCCAAAATGAACACATCATTCTTTAACCATATCACTCTCCTAGAAATGACAGTAATATTCTTCACTCTTTGGAAAAATCCTGTTTAACAAATACTTTGTAATACAATAATTAGAAGGCTGGCATTAAGGTTGATTTATTTTTAAAAAATACTTTATCCATAGCTCAATTTTCTTTCAAAATGTCTATTTTTTTCTCATTGTTAGGACATATCTCAAAAGAAGACATGTAGTGTGTTTATTTATTTGTTTACTTGTTTTTTATTTTTAAGAGAAGGGGTTTCACTCTTTCATCCAGACTGGAGTATAGTGGCACTATCATAGATCACTGTAATTTCAAACTCCTGGATTCCAGCAATCCTCTTACCACAGCCTCCCAAGTAGCTGGGACTACAGGTGAGTGCCACCATACTCAGCTAATTTTTAAATTTTTTGTAGAGATGGGATCTTGTTATGTTGCCCAGGCTGTTCTTGAACTCCTGGCCTCAAGCGATCCTCCCACCTTGGCCTTTCAAAGCTCTGGGGTTACATGTATAAGGCATGTTCAGCTTCAAAATGTATTTATTTATTTAATAGTTAATTGAAAATTCTTGTGGCTTCCCATCACACTCAGAATAAATTCCTGTTCTTTAAAATCCTATGTAACCTGGCCTCTGCCCACCTTCAGCCTTATCTCTTTCCAGCCTTTATCTCCCTGCACTGGTCTTCCTTCCAAGCACACCAAGCTCATCTCTTTTTGGGCCTTCCCACTTCCTCCTTTCCAAAGCTCTGCTTCCCGATCTTTGCATGATTGCCTCTTCCTTTCATTCAGGCCTGCCTCTTCCTTTCATTCAGGCCTACATTTAAATTTGATCACCCACATAGGCCAAACCTAATCACTACAGGGTCCAAGGGAAAATTTTCTCCTCAGCCTCTAACAACTCCACTTGCTGAAAATCAGCAGAAAAAGACAGATGAATAGGAGAAAAGACATATGCGTGGGGGAGAATCACAGTGATTAACACACTCTACAATGGGGTATGGATGGTTATATACCCTTTCTCTTAGGGGAAAGGGAGGTAGGGAAGTGAGAATGATTTTAGGGGAGTGGTAAATGATTTTTAGGGGAAGTCAACAGGATTGAAAAATATACAATGGCCTGGGACAAAGTCTGTTGGGCCTGCAGAACAGACAATGGTGTGTGACAAATCTGTCCAGGTGTGTTGACAGACTTCAGTCTTTCTTCCAGCCATATGAGTTCAGTTAAAGAAAACTCAGGGAATGTACCAGAGGTAAATTGTTTAAAGCAGATAAGGGAACTTCAGAGAACTACTTCATCCTTCGCTTTGACAGAGACAACGGATGAGAGACAGAAGGTGGGGGGATAGTCAGAGAGACCTTGAGGCTTTGACTTCAGTTCCACATGTCAAAGCCCCATATTTTGGGATATCTGTTTCTGAACCCCAACATCACCTAACCTAAAAAAGCATCACCACCTTCTTAAATTATCTGCATAGCACTTCTCTGCTAGTGCTTGGTTAATTTTCCTGGTTTATGCATCATTTGTTTATCGTCTGATTTGTCCACTGGAGTGCAAGCTCCATGATAGCAAGGACTTTAACTTGTTCATTCCTCTAACTAGTGCCTAGCCTGTATTAGAGTTGCAATAAATAGTACTGAATTTAAAAATGAAGACTCCTTTCTCTCTCTGAGGGTAATAATCAGCTGTATTATGTCAGATTCCTGCCAGATGTATGACTGTATTACATCAGATTCCTACGAAAAAGCAAGCAAGTAAACTGGAGAATTGTTCATGTTCAAGCTATAGGAAAGTATCCAGCTCAGAGTAAGCTACTACTTCCAAGATGACGTCCATGTTTCACCACCCAGGGCAGGGTGAAGGACTTGGTAAAGGATGTGATTAATTGACTCACCGGCTATTGATGCAAAGCATTGGTTATATTGGTAATAAGTCCAAGGTAACTCTGACTCCACAGAAACACTGCTTAAAGTTACTCATTTTTAGTTAGTATGTATTAAACTATTCATGACTTTTAAAAACAAGTTAGATACTAATATGGTGCCATAATGAATAATATGTCCAAATGTTCTTCAATCACATAAAAATTCTCATTGCCATCTTGAGTAAATATAGCTGAGACGTTCTGATTTATATTATGTTCTTCTCAGTTGCCGTAGGACTTGTCACAGATAATGTCTCAAGATTTGGCCCGCAAGTCTGAGGTCATGCCTTCAACACACTAAGCAGCAGTATTTCCAGGGGGACAGAGGTATGCAAATGCTATGATAATTTAATATATTCACTAGAAAAGATTTTTAAGCCCAATCAGTTCTTTCATTTAGTAAAAATTACATTTCACAGAAACGTTTTCATTTATATTCAACAGCAATGTTTGTTAATATTTAAGTTAATGTCATCATTCATTAGCTTTATCATTACATATCTTACATAACACCATAGTTACGGTAAAGACCAATGACCTCTCATGCTGTATTCTGACACAGAAACACTTTGTTTTAAATACAGAGCAATAGTCTTGTTTCCACAAAGAATAATGCTCATTCCCATTTTTCTTTACCTCTGCAACTTAAAGGCTTCATGGTAGGGTTGTCAGATTTAGCAAATAAAAATACAGGATACCTAATTAAATTTGAATGTCAGATAAGCAACTATTGCATGAGATATATGAAAAAATCATTCATTGTTTATCTAACATTCAGATATAACTGGGTATGTTATCTGGCCACCCTGGTCTATCTTTTTTCCCCCACCTTTGATAAAAATATAGTTTGAAATACACTCAGTTGGTTTCCAGAAAGTAATGATGTCTTTATTATTTTCTTGTTAGTGATCTTTAAATGTTGTCAGCTTTTAAAAATCAAAGTGTAGGGATTAACACTTCTGACCAAGATAGAATATCAGAAGTCTGAAACACTGAAAAAAAATACAGATAAAATAAATGAAATACTAATTCTCAAGATGTTGAAAATCAGGCAATGAAGGATTTCATCACGTCAAACAGTTAAACAGCAAATACTGACTTAGCTTTTACCATGTCGTAAGGCATTGTGTTACAACATGCCACAAACACAAGAAGAAGAAAAAAAAGACAAGCTCTCAGCCCTTGGAGGATTTACAATTTTGTAGGAAAGATAACATGGATATACACACAAAGATAATAAACAGTACAAGGAAGTAGGTGGTAAGTGCCAAAGGAATAACACAGATAAGAGGAGGCAGGAGATCAGTTTCATCTGCCTCTTTGGAGAAACAGTCACGCTGAAGGTCTCAAAGGGAGAAAAGACAAGAAAGACAGCATTTCACTAAATGCTTTACATTCATTATAACATTTAAGCCCCCCAGTAACCCTACAAGGGAGTTATTATTATGATCACCAGTTTCCAGCTGATAAAAGAGAATGAGCAGTTCTGAGTAACATAACTATGGTTACACATCTAGTACGCAGTGTCTCCACTTCCACCAAGTCCTCCTGACCCCAGAGCCTAAGCTTTTAGCTACTAGTGGTACCTCTGAGATGAGGAGGGAGTAGACTGGGACATCTACTGTTGCATGAAATTCCCAGAGTTTTCAGTGGGAAAGCAAGATAAAATGACTATTTTAGAAAATGAATTCTTTACATATTGCCCCAGACATTCTGTATACAAATGTTATTTGATCACACTGGTTTTAAGGAGACTAAAGAAAGAGTCAAAGATCAGAAACATTGTAAAATCAAAACAAACCGAAATGAGCTGGTGGTTATTTGCACATACAGGTAAGAGAGAAGAAAGAAAGGGAAAAATCAAAGGTAAATGCAAGCCTAAATTTACACACACACACACACACACACACACACACACACACAATTAGAACTAGTAAATTCAGCAAAGTTGCAGGATACAAAAATAATCACACAAAAATCAGTTATGTTTCTATCTAACAATAAACAACCTAAAAAGGAAATTTATAAAACAATTCTATTTTCAATAGCATCAAAAAGAATAAAAAATTTAGGAATAAACTTAACCAAGCTGGGGGAAAAGAATTATAAAACCTATAAAACATTGCTGAAACAAATGAAAGATGGCCAGGTGCAGTGGCTCATGCCTGTAATCCCAGTACTTTGGGAGGCCGAGGCAGGTGAATCACCTGAGGTCAAGAATTTGTGACCAGCCTGACCAATATGGAGAAATCCCATCTCTACTAAAATATACAAAAAATTAGCTGGGCATGGTGGCACATGCCTGTAATCCCAGCTACTTCAGAGGCCGAGGTAGGGGAATCTCTTGAACCTGGGAGGCAGAGGTTGTGGTGAGCCGAGATCATGCCACTGCACTGCAGCCTGGGCAACAACAGCGAAACTCTATCTCAAAAAAAGAAAGAAAGAAAGACAACGCTAATAAATGGAAAGACATCCTGTGTTCATGGATTGGAAGGCAATATTGTGAAGATGTCAATACTATGCACTGTGATCTACAGAGTCAGTTGCAATCCCTATCAAAATCTCACCAATAGTTTTTACAAAAAGAGAAAAATCCATAGTAAAATTCGTGTGGAATCTGAAAGGATTCCATATAGCCAAAACAATCTTTAATGAACAGAGATGGAGGACTCACTCACAATTCCTGATTTCAAAATTTACTACAAAGCTACAGTAATGAAAGCAGTGTGGTACTGGCATAAAGACAGACATATAGACCAATGAAATAAAAGAGAGAAATAACCCTTATCATATATATTATGGTATATGAAATAACCCTCCCATATACTCTATGGTCAAATGGTACCAGAAATATCCCTTCTCATATACCATGTAGTCAAATGATATTCCACAAGGGTGCTAAGACCATTCAATGGGAAAAGAACAGTCTTCAACAAATAGTGCAGGGAAAACTGAATATCTAGATGCAAAATAATAAAGTTAAACCCTTTCTTCACATCACATAAAAATATTAGCTTAAAATGAATCAGCCAGTGGGGTGGCTCACACATGTAATCCCGGCACTTTGGGAGGCCAAGGCAGATGGATCACCTGAGGTCAGGAGTTGAGACCAGCCTGGTGAACATGGTGAAACCCCATCTCTTCTACAAATACAAAACTTATCCAGGCGTGGGGACAGGCGCCTGTAATCTCAGCTACTCAGGAGGCTGAGGCATGAGAATCACTTGAACCTGGGAGGCACAAAATGGAGTGGGAATGAATCAAAGAGCTAAGCATAATAGGTAAAATGACAGCTCTTAAAATACAGGGGTATTTGGCAATTATTTCTTGGACATGATACCAATATTACAGGCAACAAAGGAGAAAAATAGGTATATTGAAATTTATCAAAATTAAAACATTTTGTGCATTGAAGCTTACCATCAACAGAGTAAAAAGGCAAATCATATGCCTGAGAAGGGATTAATATCCAGATTACATAAAGAGCAATGCTATAACAACAACCAAAACAACCCCCAAAATGAGCTAAGGATTTGAATGAATGTATCTTCAAAGAAGATATATAGATGGCCACAAGCACATGAAAAAATGTCCAACATCACTTATCATGAAGGAAATGCAAATCAAAACTTCAATGAGAAACCCTTTGCACCCATTGGTATGCCTGTTATAAACAAAACAAAATGGAAAATGGGAGTGCTGTGAGAACATGGAGACATTGGAACCTTTGTGCATGACTAGTGGGAATGTAAAATGGCTCAACTGCGGTAGGAAAACAGTATGGCAGTTCTCCATTCAACACAGAGTTAACAAACGATCTAGCAATTTCACTCCTGGGTATACATCCGGAAGAATTTAAAGCAAGGACTCAAACGGATATTTGTATACCCATTTACGTAGCACCATTATTCACTATAACCAAGAAGTGGAAGAAATCCAAATGTCTGTTGATGGATGAATGGATAAACAAAATGTGGCATATACATAAGGTGGAATATCACTCAGCCTCAAAAAGAAATGAAATTCTGACACATACTACAACATAGATGAACCTTGAAGACATTATGATAAGTGAAATAAGTCAAGCACAAAAGTACAAATACTGTATGATTTGTACACCATACAAGTACCTAGAGTAGTCAGATTCATAGACACAGAATGTAAAATGGTGGTTGCCAGGGGGGTTGGGGGAAGGGAGAATGGGGAGTCAGTGTTTAATTGGTACAGTTGGATAAAGTAAAAGAGTTCTGGAGATGGATGGTGGTGCGGTCAGACAACAATGTGAATGTACTTGATGTCACTGAACTGTATACACTCACAAATCCCTAAAATGATACATTCCACATGTTTATCTTAATAAAAAAATTTAAAAATATATAATCCACAAATCCACACAACTGCGTACCCAGAAACTACAGCAGGCCATTGTAACCACTCTGATTGTTGGAAAATCCACTCTTCCCTCAGTATACCCTGTGTAGCATTTGTGATATATAATTCTCTGAAATCCCAACCAAGAAAGGGCATCAGTATAAAATGTGTATTACATATTACTAACGTTTAATTTCTTCCTTATTTTTTCAGAGAAAAAAAATAGAAGCTCTAATGTTTTCTTCTTGGACTGTGCCCTTTTGGAGAGACCATTTGTTTAAAGGAAAGGAAAACAAAGAGGCCAACAAAGACTGACAAGGTATAGGGAGCAAGGTCTGAGAATAATGAACAGTGTGTGCCCTGGACGCAAAATGAAGAAGGGGAGATAGAGAAGTTCACTGTGTACAATGCGTGTGCAGGAGAGTAAGTTAATGCAAGGCCAGGTGTGCTGGCTCAGACCTGTAATCCCAGCACTTTGGGAGGCTGAGGCTGGAGGATTGCTGGAGCCCAGGTGTTGGAGACCAGCCTGAGCAGTAAGGCAAAACCTCATTTCTATAAAAATCACAAAAATTAGCCAGGTGTTGTGGTACAGGCTTGTAGTCCCAGCTGCTTGGGAGACTGATGTGGGAGGATCACTGAAGCCCAGGAGTTCGAGGTTGCAGTGAGCTATGACTGCACCATTGCACTCCAGCCTGGGCAACAGAGACCCTGTCTCTAAAAAATTAAAAATTAAAATATTGTAAGTGCAGAGATGAGATCCCAGGGTTGGGAACACAAAGGACAGCAGAGATCTCAACAAGAGCAGTCTCCTGGGTGTGATATGGATAGAAACTGGATGGAGTGGATTGAAGACAGGGTATGACAGGAAGAAGTGGAAACAGTAATTATAGTCACTGCCCTCAAAATGCTGTGCTTTGAAAGGGACCACAGGAATGAGAGGGGAATTTGAAAGGTGCCATGATGCCAAATGAGATGTTGTTTGTTTGTTTATTTTGAGACTGAGTCTTGCTCTGTTGCCCAGGCTGGAGTGCAGTGGCATAATCTCAGCTCGCTGCAACCTCCACCCCTCACTGGCTTAAAACAATTCTCCTATCAGCCTTCAGAGTAGCTGGGATTACAGGCCCCTGCCACCCTGCTAATTTTTGTATTTTCAAGGAGAGATGGAGTTTCACCAAATTGCCCAGGCTGGTTTCAAACTCCTGACCTCAAGTGATCTGCCTGCCTGGGCCCCTCCAAGTGCTGGGATTACAGATGCGAGTCACTGTGCCTGGCCTGTTATTGTTTTATTATGGCAGATTACAGCATGTTTGGATGCTGGCAGGAAAATCTAGAGGAACTGTAGATGCAGTCTTGAGAACAAGAAACAGGACAGGGTCCAGACCACCGGGAGGAGATGGCAGAGAGAGGGGTGAGGTGGGGTATGGGCAGGTAAGACAGTGACTTTAGTGAAAGAGGGTTGAAGAATGTCTTGTCTGATGAAATGAGGTAAAGGAAGAGGGGGTTTACATAAGTTATGTGATGGGAAAGAAGGTATTACATAGCCAGCTCAGAGTTGGAAAAGAAAATATTTCAGGGATGTAAGAGGATCCTGGGAAGTACCGAGTACTATTTGAGATATGCCATTATAGATTTACAGTGAGACTGTTCAGCAGGGCCATGTGTTCTTCAGCAACACTCGGCTACTCAGGGACAGGCACAGTACAGGCAGATGGTTGGTCTTAACCAGGTTGGGGCTTTGCCAAAGTACAGCAGAGAAGAGAGACAAGGAGGAAGTTAATGAGGTTTGCAAAGTGTGCATTGGTGAAAGGTAGTAAGAGGAGACATATAAGGGTGGAGACAGGGTTGGGTCCTTGCTGATGACAAGGTCATTGTCATAATAGTGAGTACTGAAGTGGTTGAGGAAGATATATTTGGAGGCAAGAGGTCAAAGGATTGGGAGGGCATGGTACAAATGTGTGGTAGTGGGCCTATGTCACTGTATCACAGGGCTTAGGAAACTCTAATTTGATCTTCCTTGGCCTACCTCCAAGTCCTACCTTGGCCAGAGATGTGATTTTTGCTCCATGACTCTATCCCTGCACAAGATAACCAAGTTCTTCACCTTCTGAACAAGGACATTAGTAAATGTCCAGAAACAACAGGATGTCCCCAATGAGTGGGAGCTTCCTTCCCACTTGACGCTCATTCAGCATTGAGTCCTGTCTACTCCACTTCCTGGTCCTTGAAACTTTGAGTCTGTCTCATCTCCCATTTCCATTTCAAGAACTCTGTTCTTTCTAGGCTTTCCTCTTCTTTGTGAACCATTTCTGTTACCCTCTCTTTCTAGATAAGCCTGTGATAGAGTCTTTTTGTCTCATATTTGCAGCAGAGGCATTTCTGAGTCTTGGTTTCTTCTTCATTGTGTGCTGGGATAGAGGAAAACTGCCTTCAGGGTATTAGAGAGAGCAGAAAGAGAGAAAAATACACAGAAAACACTCAGGAAATTAGAGATGCACCCTGTCTCAGATGGATTATCCACAAGGCCATTGGAGTCATCAAAAAATGAAGACAGGCGTGGACATGGAAGAGAGTGGGCCCGGTATGAAAGTCAACAGCTATTGAGAGACAGTGATCAAGACAGACAGATGCTAGCCACAGAAGGGCAGCAGATGGAAAGTTTGATGACGTGAATTTTGAAGAACAGTAGGAGTCAGAAGGCCTGGAGACAGCATTTGGTGAGCAAAGAGGATTCTCTCCTCCTCCAGGTCCCAGGTATCTGAAGCTAAAAACAGTCTTACTTTGGAAGTAAAATGCTGTTATCAGGAGGCAAAGAGCTTTCCATTGCAGATGGACATCTCCAGCACCTTGTATATGCAATGAGCGCTCAACAAATGTGTGTTGAGTAAATGGAAAGAAAGTTAACTGAATCTAGTATTTATATTTCAGTCACATGCCACAACCCCATCACTCTTCTGGAAGAAGTGACAGTCTCTATCTTACTGACCCAGGAAATATGACTCTCAGGAGGAACAAAGAGACTTCCTGGAGCCTTGTACGTATTTCTGGTGCCCATCAGAGCACTGAGAACAGCACCTGATTTATGCCCTTTGCTCACCTCTTAGCTCCCATTACCTCTAGCAGTGACAGAAGATAATTACTCAGGTGTTCCCTGCTCTTCTGATTGATCTGGCTTTCCATTGTTAAGAGTTTTGGGGAATTTTACAGGCCGTTAAGTAATAAACTTTTGTTCTCCCTCTTAGCTCAAAACCAAATAAGAAATAGATGCTGGAATCAAGCAAACTGACAAAAAATACCAGCTTTAATACTGATAAGACATAATTGAAAATCATAATCTGAGCTATAGCCATTATCAGTATCCCTAAAAGTTCCCCTTCTCTACAGGATTATGCTGATCCTGGTTCAGGAAAGGTGGGCAAGGAGTAGGTGTCCTTCATCAACAGAGTCTAGAGAAGACTGGACCACGCATGATCTGTCCTTTCAAAAATAAATTACTTCTCAGGTATGAGGAGAAGTGAGTGAAGGGACAGAGAAAACCTTGAAGGTTACTCCCATATATCTTTTTCCTACTGAGTGAACATTTTCTCCTTTCTTTGAAAATATGAAGAGGAAGATAGAAGGGTTCCCTCTAACACATATTCACTTTTAATTCTCCTAATATGCTTATGAGTACAGTTTCCATAGGAAAAGGGATCCATTGCTTCTCAGGAAGACCTGCTCCCACCTTCAGGGAGACCCTTGCCCCCCAACCATATCAACGTTGGTTGATTCATATATCTTCCTGACATCAGTGGCTGAACATTTAAATTTTGCCCCCTGAAACCTCTGAAATGGTAGGAAGAATAACTATTGAATTAATCATACATCTACTAATTTGACCTGTCTTCCCACCCTTTTCTGTCTTCCCAGGCTCTTCTGTTGTAACCTCTGGACCTCATGGTATATCATTCATAACTCTCTTATACCCCTAACATCTGGTGGTTAAAATGTGAGTCATGGTACATTTTAAAACCAAAACATAACTGCTGTGGTTTGAATGTGTCTGCTCCAAAATCCAGTTGTTGCCAGTGTGATAGTATTAAGATGTGGGATCTTTAAGGGGTGGTTGGACCATGAATCATGAGAACCTCTCCCTAGTGAGTGGGATTAAAGTTCTTATACAAGAGGCTTCACGCAGCACTGGGCTCTCTTATCTTTCAGCCTTCCATGACGTAAGGACACAGTGTTCCTCCCCTCCAGAGGATGCAGCCCTCACCAGTTAACCAAATCTGCTGGTGTCTTGAGCTTGGTCTTCCCAGCCTCCAGAACTGTCAAAAAATGACTTATTTTCTTTATTAATTACCCAGTCTTTGGTATTCTGTTATAGCAGCACAAATGGACCAAGATGCATACCTACCTATCAGTGAAATTTCTGGGTCATTTAATAACTCTGTTAAATTTATAAGGAATTGCCAAGCTGTTTTCCAAGTGATTGTATCATTCCATCTCTCTACCAGCAATATATGAGGGTTCCCATTTTATATTCTCACCAACACTTATTATTTTCTGTCTTTTAAAATTATAGCTGTCCTAGTGGGTGTGAAGTGGTTTCTCATTTTGCTTTTAATTGCATTTTCCTAGTGACTCTGCCATTAAGCATCATTTCATATGCTTATTATAGATTTGCATATCTTCTTCAGAAAAATGTCTAAAATGATTTGCTTATTGTAAATTGAAAAGTCTTTTTCTTAATGAGTTATAAGAATTCTTTATATATTCTGAACATAATTTCCTTATCCGAGATATTATCATACACATTTTCTTTATTCTGTGGATTGTTTTCTCACTTTCTTGATGCTACCCTATGAAGCACAAAATATTTTAGTTACGATGAAGTATAATTTATGTTTTTTTTTCTTGAGGTGTTTCTGGAAACCATAGCCTAATCCAAGGTCATAAAGACTTATGCCTATGTTTCCTTCTAAGAGTTTTATGTTTTAGCCCTTTCCTCCCTTTTTGGTAATAGCTTTATCGAGATATAATTCATATGCCATACAATTCATCCATTTAAAGTATACAATCCAATAGTATTTAGTATAGTCATGAAGTTGTGTAATCATCACCACAGTTAATTTTAGAACATTTTCATCACCTCCTAAACAAAACTCCTGTACCATTTAGTTATGTCTTATTTTTCTCAACCCAACTCCCCGGCCTGAGGCAACTGCTAATCTACTTTCAGTCTCCATAGATCTGCATATTCTAGAAATTTCATGTAAATGGAATCATATTTGTGGTCTTTGGTGACTGGCTCTTTCACTCGGTGCAATGCTTTCAAGGTTCAACCATGTTGTAGCATGTATTAGTACTTCATTTAGGCCAAATAATGTTCCATTGTATAGATACATTACTTTTGTTTATCCATTCATCAGTAGATGGACATTTGAGTTATTCCTATTTGGGGAATATTATAAACAATATTACTATAAACATTCTCTCAATTTTTATTTTTCTGAGGATGTTTTAATTTCTCCTTCATTTTTGAAATATAGTGTTTTGGGATTAAAAAAAAAATTCTTGAAAGTGTTTTATTTTTTTTGACAGAGTTTCACTCTTGTTGCCCAGGCTGGAGTGCAGGGGTGTGGTCTCAGCTCACTGCAACCTCCACCTCCTGGGTTCAAGTGATTCTTCTGCCTCAGCCTCCTGAGTAGCTGGGATTACAGGCATGTGCCACCACACTTGGCTAATTTTGCCTTTTTAGTAGAGATGGGGTTTCTCCATGTTGGTCAGGCTGGTCTCAAACTCTGATCGCAGGTGATCCACCTCCCTTGGCCTCCCAAAGTATGGGGATTACAGGTGTGAGCCACCATGCCCAGCTGATTGACAATGTTTTCTTTCAGTACTTTGACTATATCATTTCATTGCCTTCCAGCCTCCACAATTTCTGATATATAACCAGCTGTCAATCTCACTGAAGATTCCTTCTACTTGACATGTCTCTTTTCTCTTGCTGCTTTCAACATTATCTTTGTCTTTGCCTTTAGTCCCTTTTGTTATAAAGTGTCTGGGTGTGTATCTCTTTGAATTTATCCTTCTTGGGGTTTGTTGAGCTTCTGGGATGTGTAGATTAATGGTTTACATCGAATTTTAGAAGTTCAGCCATTATTTTTTCCAACATTTGTTTTTCCTCTTTTTCTTTATGATGGGAATTCTCATTAGTGTATGTTAGTAGGCTTCACAGTGTCTCATAGGTCCTTGAGTTTCTGTTTATTTTTCTTTTTTTCTTCCTGTTCCTTGGACTAGATAATCCAAAATTAACTGTCTTCGGTTTTACAGATCCTTCTGCCAGCTAAAATTTTCTGTTGAGCTCAGAGGCTAATTTTCATTTCAGTTATTGTACTTTTCATCTTCAGAATTTAAAAATTTTTTAAAATATTATTTCTACCTCTTTTTAATATTCTCCATTTGGTGAAAATTCACATACTTTCTTTTAGTTTAAGACAGTTTACTTGAGTTCTTTGAGTATATTTAAAATAGTTGATTTAAGGTCTTTGCCTAGTTACTCCAGCATCTGAGCTTCCTCAGGGACAATTTCTATTGCCTCCTTTTTTCCCTGTGTGTTGTCAGTCCATACTTTCTTATTTCTTTGCATTTCTCATAATTTTTGGTTACCAATGGGATGTTTAAAATTATATAATGTGACAAATCTGGAAATCAGATTTCAATTCTCAGGGCTTGTTGTTGTTAGTATTTGTTTTTTAGTGAGTTTCTTGAATTCATTCTCTGAAGTCTAATTTTTTTTTCATGTGTGAACATTGACATCTCTTCTTGGTTATATTCATGGGCAGTTGAATACATACAAGACTGTACAGAGATTTCCTTAAACTCTTGGAACCAATAAGTCTGCCAGCCTCTGCTGAGGGGTGTTGTATATGTATTGGGACATGCCTCCAATGTTCAGACATGTAGTTTACAATTCTGCTTCAAACTTCACTTCCTGCTTGCACAGAGGCTGATGGTTAGCCAAGGTGAAGGTTTAGGGTCTTCTCAGCTATTTCCTGGGCATACACACAGCCCTGTGCATATTAGCCTTCTAGTTTCCCAGGAACATGTCAGAGCTTTTTAAAGCCTGTTATTAATATCTCATTCCCTAGCATCTTCTTTTAAGTTTTTGGTCAGCTTGTTGTTTGTCCCAGCTGTTATCATGACAGCCTCATGCAGCTTTGATGTTAAATAATTGCCACTGATTGTTTTTGACAAATATCTTTGGGTAAAATGCTGTTCATGGTGAGTGAGCTCTAAGTCAGGTCAAATAAAGACAAATCTTATGAGAGAGATTTTCTAGGCACCTGCCAGACAGGTCACATAATGACCATTATCTACAATGGGGCTTTGGAGCAGCTTCAACATTTTGTTCCCTCCACTGCTTCTAGGTTGTTGACTTTCACCATGACTGCAGTTCTCTTTGTTTTCAAGGCTACTCTAGAGCTAGGGAGAGGAGGATGAGGACGGAGTAGGTTAAAATGCCATCAAGCCCCCCTGTTCTTACCAGGATTCTGCCATTTTTCTTGCATAAGCACTCAAACTGTTGCAAGCCTTTGGTTAATTTCCAGAATTCTGAAAAGTTGAATTTGACAGTTTTTTTTTGTCAGTGTTCTTATTGTTTTATGGAGAAATAAATTTTCAGAAGTTCTTACTCTGCCATCCATGAACCATTGTCCAGTTTCTATTGTTATTTTTTAAAATTTTTATTCTGAGAAAATTATGAACTGACCTACAGTTGTAGGAAAAAATACAAAGAAATCTCATATACCTTTTACCCAGTTTCCTTTCATGGTAACAGCTTCCATGACTAGAGTCTAATATGCTGACCAGAAAACATATAGTGCTGCAATCCATTAACTTTATTCAGATGTTACCAGATTTGCATACATTCATTTGTGTGTACGTGTATGAATAAGTAGATGTGTTTAGTTTTGTGCAATTTTTTCACATGTGGGGATTTTCACCACAGTTAAGTTACATCATGTTTCTATCACAAAGATCTTTTATGTTATTCTTACATAGCCAGTCACATCACCTCTCCCCCACCATCACCCCTAACATCTGTTCTCCAAGTCTATAATGTCATCTCAAGAGTGTCATGGAATATTTTGTTTGATGAAATATCATTTGGCAGTTAAAAGAAATAAAGTACCAACACATGCCACAACATGGATGAACCTTGAAAATATGCCACATGAAAGAAGCCACGCATGAAGGATCACAGAGCAATGATTCCATTTCTTTTTGAAATGTCCAGAATAGACAAATCTTTAGAGACAGACAGTGGATTAGTAATTGACATAGGCTAGGTGGGATGGGGAACAGTTGGTGATGGCTAAGTGACATAGAAGGGAGGGCTTAATAAAAATGTTCTAAGATTGATTGTGATGTTGGTTGCACCTCTGTGAATATACTAAAAGCCATTGAATTGTACACTTTAAATGGGTGAATTACATGGCACATGTACCATATCTCGATAAAGCTGTTTTTTTTTTTGAGAGGGAGTTTTGCTCGTTACCCAGGCTGGAGTGCAATGGCGCAATCTCGGCTCACTGCAACCTCCGCCTCCTGGGATCAGGCAATTCTCTTGCCTCAGCCTTCTGAGTAGCTGGGATTACAGGCACGCACCACCATGCCCAGCTAATTTTTTGTATTTTTAGTAGGGACGGGATTTCACCATGTTGACCAGGATGGTCTTGATCTCTTGACCTCGTGATCCACCCGCCTTGGCCTCCCAAAGTGCTGGGATTACAGGTGTGAGCCACTGCACCCGGCCGATAAAGCTGTTTTTTAAAAAAGAATGCAATGGAAATAGAACCATACAATAGGTGACTCTCTGAGACTAGTCCTATCATTTTAAAGCAAAAGTTTGGTCCCAGAGAAACTATCTGTTGCAGAGGTAGAATAATATAGTACAGAAAAGTTTAGATAGGAGCTATCATAGTTGAGTGTGCTAAGAGGTCACATGGCATGGTCAAAAGGAAGGGGAGAACCTGCTTCTGCACTCAGAGGAGTCTAGGTGGCATTACCAGGCACACACAAATACAATCCAGGTGGGTCTCTTTTCAAGTCTACTCTGAGGATGAGATTTCTGAACTCTCTCTGGAACTGGCCTCAAATGGGATGGATGAAAAACATGCTGTTTCAGCTTAATTCAGATAAGGCTTTTGTTGGAAGAGAAAGCCAACAGCAATGATAGCAATTTATACATACACTGAGGTTTCACTGCCTCAGCTGCTTCTTAGACTCATGGATAAAAAGCACAGAGCAGATTTCTTTCTGTATGTGGCACAGAGATTAAACACTCTCATATGTGGCTCTTATCTTGTTTTGTACTTTACTTTCCTCCACACTAGATCATCACAAAGATTTCTACCAGGAGAGACAGGTTTCTAGACCTTATGTAATTATTTTCTGGTAGAAATAGAGTAACTCATTCAACTACAGAACACTTTGCCTTTGTCAGCGTTATCGTGG